GAAACCCATTATCGTCGCGAGACATCGTACGTGAATGCGCATCGAGTTCTAAGTAAAAAAAGATCTTTAAAATGTAAAATGTAAAATGAATGTAGAAACTTCCTTACATTTATGGGCTTAGAAGTGAATTTCTCAATTGCAACAGGTTTATTTCTCATCAGTCCTGTCGCTCGTCCACTAGGCCCTACCTTTGCAATTCATTGTCATAGTCAATATCATAGCTTGTCGTTTATAGGGTGGATATTCTCTCAGCAGTGTTTCAACCATCTGTCCATAATCAAATTTTGTTGTTTGACTCAACAGGCCACAAATCACGAAAACTTTTGCTCTGGCATCGGTTGCTTGTATACTGTCCAGACAATTTTTTCTTATTCTATCTAAAACTTTCGTTTCATCATACGTTGATGGACGATCTCGTCTTTCATTCGCTAGATCTTGATCAACATGCGTTCGCACAAAGAAGACTGATTTACCATGCTTTTTTACTTCTTTTGCTAGCCACGTATCATTTTCAGTAAAATGTTTACAACTAACAATAATAAAAAAATCATATTGCTTGTAATTAACTTTTTCCAAATAGGTAGCTTGCGGAAAATTTGGAGTGCCAACGCCCTGAAAAAAGAAAAATAATAGTAGTGTTAGCCAGTAAGGTAAACTGTAAACCAGTTTTACCGGTAAATCATAAAATGTCAAATTTGGATTTTCTGGATGCGCGTAGTCTTGGACACAATCTGTAGTTTCAATAACGCCTGTCAGAGCGGCACCAGGATCATCTAACCGAAGATAAACGTTTTCGTACTTGAAAGAGAAAGCGTCTGTTTAATTAAGGTCTAACTTGATTTCAGCCCTCTTATTGTGTTGATTAACATTGATTTACCACTGCCAGAGTCACCAGCGTGTTCATTCGCATATTATGTACTTGACGTTTGTTTCTTGCTTTCAAACTTAAGTTTTATTGACGCCATATATAGGAATCTGTTCTTTATGGCAACCTTCAATAAACTTACACGCCATGCTGTGATTGAACGAAAATGCACAACAGATAACGGTATGTGTTGCAAGAATTATAATGAAAACTCACCGTTTAATCTGTTATTTAAAAAGTTTTCAAATCCTTGAATATCATTTGTGTTAAAATATTCTGTCGCTAAAAAACGTGAAAGGATGCAGATAACATGCAAATGAATAGAAATACCTGTTAAAATTTTGAAATTACCTGCTTGTTTATCTGCTTCACTTATGTTAAGAAGATTAAAATCATTAGGGTTGATGGAATGTGTTTCTGCATTGTCAAATGCACCGACATGACTGGCTCGAGAAATTGTAACTGGAGGAGGGACTCGAGGACTGCTTGACATTTTGCTAAAATCATAGTTTAGATAAAGATAAGACGTATCTATGCTTAACAAACGGGTGACTTGAAACCATTTAGCATTAGGGTCTTCATAACTGTTAATGCAGATCAGAGAATCTCCTGATTTTTATCCAGTTTCCCGCAATATGAGTTGTACGCTAAAAGAACTGTCGACAGGGCACGGATGACACTGACGATGTTGTGCAGTGCGTTTTGAGTCATGTGATTAACATGCTCTACAGCTTTCTCGCCAAGATTTCGTTTGAAATTTGCTGACAAAAACACTTGCAGATTTTTATAAAAACTATAATTTCACCTAGGCTTTCAAAAAACTTTTTCTCGAAACTCAGAGCATCATCGTCTTACCTTCTTTTTCCTATCTTCTCTTAAAATTTCACGTTTTTTTTTGGAATACACATAGTAATCACTTTACGACTTCCTTTTATATATGTAGCTGATCATGATAGGAACTGTGTAAGGCGTCAAATTCTGTAATTGAGTTTTGTTAGGCAAAGAGAGGTATAGAAAGACTAGAAGAGGGAAATTCAGACCATTTCCCAGTTGTATTTTTTTCTCTTTCTGCGCAGGTGAAGACGGTTTATTTCATAAAACGAACTGGAAAATATTTCATTTCTTTATAAAAGTAGTGTTTACTTATTGAAATTCTGTCGTCTATAATTTTAATTATAACTTTTTCTTTGTTCTTTTTTCTCTAATACTTCCAGCACTGTGCGACAGGTGTAGTGAGTATGAAACTGTAAAAACGTTTAGACCGCGATTGCTACCACATTTAGTTAGTTTAGCGAGAACAGTAAATAAACGTAAGAGGAAGAAGGAAAAGAATAGAAAATACACCTAACATTTCACTTGAAAAAATAAAAGTTGAAGAAGTATGTGAACAATAGAAAAGAATAGCTTCAGAAAAGTCACTAGATAGTGTACATGACTCAATGGCAAAGTCATTGTACCGTTCATTTTTCTACCTGTAAAAAGAGGATAACTTTTTTTACTGAGAAGCAATTTTGAAATTATTTTTTTGTTTTGTTTGTCTACACTATATCTACTACTGTGCTAGAAGCCAACCTTTTGTCTTCTATAGTTTACGAGATATAGCTCCTGTATTTCGACGTTGGTTGCTTTTTGGCGCTGTCTACCGAGAGCAAACGGATTTTTTCCAATATATTTAGTCGTTCAAGAGTAATATTGCTTTTCCATTTTGTAAGCTACATTTTCCTCTACAATCCCACATCATTTGATTCCAGACAGAGGTAAGATTCCAATTAGAAAAAAGCTTATCTTTGCTCTGCTACTCACTCTGGAATTTATGTCCGATGAGATTTCAAAGCGTAATATCGAGCTAAAGGAAAAACTGGAAATGGTTGTCAGTAAGTAGAATCGATACGACTTCGAGTACGTAACAAGCTGATAACAAAATATAATTTGAAAAGTACTTTTTTTGTACAAAAAATTCTATTATAATGTTAGAAATGGAGGCTTCATCCACAAAATGTCCGTTGAGACTGTGAATTTTGTTTTTTCGATATCTCGACAAACAGCACTCTGGTCGAGATTAAACTTTGTTCATTTTTTGACCTTATGGGGTACGATATTTGGTAGAAAAATGAACCTGAAATATTGCATCATTAAGGAGAAACTTGAAAAATACGCGACGATGTCCAATGAGATTTCTCAAGGGAGATTCTACACTTCTCCCGAAACAGAACAAAAATGTTCTATATTTTGGGAAACTTTTCGCAAAAACAGAACAAAATGTTCTGTTCCGGGGAAAAGTTCCAGGGAATCCAAGGAAATCTTATGGATTCCAAGAGAATCCTTGGAATCCTATAGAATCATAGAGAATCCTTGGGATCCAGGAGAATTCAGGATTCTAGGATTCCGTGGTTTCCCCCTTGAGATTTCCACATGCTTCTTCTCAGTAAAAATTCAAATGAAATTCAACTTATTATATACCGTTCGATTCGTCTGACGAGGAATGATCCCCAACTGATAAATCGCTTTTTCAACGAAACCGGCTGGACTATAGGTAGTCGACGATGCTGATTCCGAATACCACCATGAATGCTGCCGCTAGGCCTTCAAAGACCGGTATTCTGGAAAACCAGTTTTCGAGAAACTCTAAAGAACAACCAAAAGCTTTCTTAATGAGGTGTTATTGTAGTCAATAAATTTCTGATTAAAACGAGGCATCTCCCAGCTCTACACGACCTTTCTTTGCAAAGTTATAGAATTTACAAGAAAAGCCCTAAA